TGATTTATCGGCATTCAGAGGAGAGATGGGATGGGCCGATGCCAAGAAAATCTCATCTGTCTGGAATCTGAAAGGAAAGGAAAAAAAAAGTTTGAAAATTTCAGAGGAAGCTGGGATTTGTCCCAGTTCCAGTGTCTCTGTGTTCACTCAGACAGCTAACACACAGTGTTAGCAAGTGAGGCTCACTGAATAATAGTGGCAAATGTTTTTCCATCCATCAAGAACCCTGAGTTTGGTCCCAGGTCAGTGGGCTGGGCAGTGTAGCCCATGACCCTGAACAGCAGGAGCCTTCAGTAGGTTCCCCCATGCCTTTTGCAGGATGTCTTAAATCAACATCTTTCTTTTCTCTGTGGGCTTTAGAAAAGGATTACAGGATTACTCTGTTATCAAGTCCTGGCCACTTTATCACACTTCAGCAGCTAAATAGAACACGAAAATAAAATCATTCAATGCTGATTTAGGAAAAAAAAATCGCTGTTTCTTTTTTCTTTCCTAATTAGGACTCTGCTTCTCCATTCTTGCTTACTTCATGCCCTGTTTTTGACTGCACAAGATGCAGCCATTCATGTGCCCAGTGAAACCAGGAGCTGACCACAAACTCTGGGCCTGCCCTTTTGCCCTCCAGTACCAAGAGGTACTTCAACAAGCTTGTAGAGGAGTCAGAGTCTTACAATCAATCCTGAAAATGTCTTATTTCAGGAAATACACTGGCACTGGTGCTGGAGCAACTACAAAGGGCTGTCCCTTGTTGTGCCACAGAAAAAGTGGTGCATGCAAGACCAGCAATGATCACTGGTGCTGTAAAACCACAGGGATGCTGTTCAAACTACTCCATCTGCTGCTCAAGATTCTTCCAGACATTACTGTCAGTTTTAACCTTAATGCATTCTGTAAATGTCTGGAAATATGTGATCTCTTGAGTCTGCAATCATTGGAAATCAGCCTGGTGTGTAGAGCTTTCCTAAAAGGCCAGAAAGGGTGTGGGGTTATGCTCTGTAAGTGCAGGGATGACTGACAGTGCAAAAAGCAGCCTACACAGAACCATCTCTGCTCTATCTCAGAGACTTCACCCGAAGGCACATGAAGAAAGAGCAGAAGAATATTGGACTGAGTCATCCCCTGTCCTCAGTGGAAGCCCAGAGAGCTCCAGTTCCAGCACAGGAAACACTAGGAATGTCCCTTTTTTTCCTTATAAATCTTTCTGACTCGCTCTCATCTGTGAGATTGTCAGTGGTTGCGGAGTGTGGTGATCACTGCATTTGGCAGAGCTCTTTGCTACCTGCAGTTTAACTCCCAGCCCAGCAGACTGCAATAACACAGGATATTTATTCAGCTGTGCCCCTCCTGTGTATCCTGGGGAGAAAAGGTATGTTCTGGCCTCTTTAATCACTTCATTCTTTGCTGGAGTAAACAAGAGGAGCCACAGGGGGTTGTCTTTGCTTGTGAGGTTCTGCTGTGCCCAGAGTTTGCTGCAGGAGGCACCTTCACTAACAGAGCACAAAGTTCCATCGCTGGAAGGAGGGGGAGATGAGCTGGGGTGAGTGCAGATGGTAGGAGGGATTTAAAAAAAGGGCTGAACAATGGTCCCAACAATTCCTTTCCACCCCTACCAAAAGATCAAGCAGCATTTTAACTGGTACACTGAGGTGGGATATGACAGGGATTGAAAAGGAGGTGCATCAGTGGAGTGAAAGCTCAAAGTAACCCAGAGCTCTGCTGCGTTACCAGTGTTAAACACACAGCTTTGCCAGGCCCTCAGCAGCTTTCACGAGGAGCCATTGCAGCCTCTTATAAAAGCCAGTGCTCTGAACAGGCAGCAGAATTCCCTAAGAAGTATCTGGCCAATACATTACCGTGAATTTACACTGAAAACCCTGACAAACAGAAGTAATTGGTAGGTGACAATTTAAAATATTGTCAGAGCCGGCTGGGAAATTATTGGGTTTTTTGTTTTGTTTTGTTTTGTTTTGTTTTGTTTTTAGCTTGGGAACAAGTTCTGAAACGCTCCAACAATGACAATTATTGCAAGGAATAACTCTGAGAACTTCTCGGCTGAGTCTGAACTCTCCCACCGCATCCCCGACCCTCCCATCGCGTTCCCGGTGCTCCCGCCGCATCCCTGCTCCATCGCTCCGGTGCTCCCGCCTCATTCCCGCCCGGATCATCCTCCCTGCCCGGTTCGCCCCCTGCTGGGTCTGGCCGGGGATGCCCTTCCTGGCACGGTGGCAGCGGGAGGGTTAAAAGTCTGCTCCGAGTTTCGTGGCTTCTCTCCAAAAGGTTTCAGTTAACACCAAAGGTCTCCTTAAAGCTCCCTCACTTTAATAGATTTTTTTCCCATCGAGTTCTCACTTTATAGACTATCATTTCCTTTTCTGCAGGGGAGCTATTTTCTGGGTCACTGATCCAACCAACTTAAAAGGGGTTTCATTGATTGGGTTTTATTGGTGGTTACTTCAACCATAATGTCACAAGTTGCTGGTACCTGTGAACAGCTGTGGGTCTTGCTTTGGGTACCCTCTCTCTGTACATCTGCAAGTGAAGTTGGGTTTCTCTCCCCTGCCTTGATTGAGTGCTTGCTAATTACTAGAATATTCTTTACATGGAAGTGATTTGTGACTTACAGCTTCTAGAATAATTTCCTTCCCTCTAATGCAGTTACTTTCCTGGCCAGGAAATACCTGCTCCTCCTTCTGCTAAACAGAGTGCAATGTGCCTAAAAGAAAGGATATCATTTTCTTCCATCTCCTTTCAGAAAACATCTGACCAAACAGCCCAGGAGGGTTTGCAGATTTGTGAGTACTCTCAGAAAGGAACTGGATGGCAGTGGCAGGGCTGGTACCAAACTGCGTGGCTGCACTGCCAGTGCCAGTGGAGCAACCTCTCTGCTTCTCCCGTTTCCAGAACCCAATTCTGAAGCACTTTTGCTCCCTCCATCACTGTCAAGAGGAGCACCAAAGGTGTTCTTGCAGCATCAAGCCTTGGAAGCTGAAGCACAGAGAAATTCCCTGTCATTCTCTTCGTGTCCCTTCACAGGACACAAGGAAAATTAATTCCCTTTTTCCCTCGAAGACATGGCCCTTTCTCTGCACTTCATCTCCATACATCCTGTGCAGAGATTTCTCTATTTGCTCTTACAACTGCCCTGGTACATTATAGCAATATGACCATCAATTAACAGCACACTCTATCACAATAAAGAAGCCACCCAACCTTATATAACTCTTTTTAATTGTTTTCTTACATTATAGCATTTTGCTAAACTTATTCTGCCATAATTCACATAATTTAATTTCTCAGAGTGCTAATAATTTAATTGCTTCCTTCCTGCAGACAGAGTGCCTGAACTGCCTCCCCTCATTCAGAACATTATAAAAAGTGGCTGCCATGAATACTTAAAAGGGGCACTTTATTCACAAGACCTTATACCAAATCACTCTCTCCAGGGCCTGTGTTGTGTTTCAGGCAGCCACAAGGTGCAAGAAACTTCCTTGCATACTGGGACTATCTTCACTCTAGATGTGAACAGGCTGGAAAGGATCCAGGGAAGGGCCACAGAGATGATCCAAGGCCTGGAAGGCTGCCATTTGAGGAGAAAAGATGGATCCCCACCTTGCTAAAACCTCCTTTCAGGCACTTGTAGGGAGCAAGAAGGTGCCCCCTGAGCCTCCTTTTCTCCAGGATGAGCCCCCTCGGCTGCTCCTCAGCAGACTTGTGCTCAGAGAGGCTTTAGTGCCTCTTCAGAGTGACTGAGTTTCCAGTAACAAAGTTTCCATTATCTCTTAACTAGTACATTGTCTGGGTACTTAAACATCACAGACATCCCTTTCCCAGAGTACAGAGAACTGGGGTTGGGACCTATAGCAAAAACCTCAGAAATGTACAGGTTTAGCCTCAGGGATAACTTTCCCCTTGCCTTCTTTCAATCTTGAGAACCTATTTCTCTCCCAGGAGATGACATTCCACGAGTAATTATTGTATTATCACCAGGTCTCACCTGTCACCGATATATTTTGCGGGGAAGATAGGATCGATAAATGTTAAATGCCATCGTGGAACTTTAAAGGAGAAATTTTGAAAAATCAATCAAACAAGCAAACAAAAACCCTGAAATCCAAACCAAGATGCATGCACACGACCCAGGAGACAGCCCCTGGCAGGTGGAAAAGCAAAACCCACTTTTTTTGGTGTGCAAATCTCAGGACTAGATTTTTTTTTGTTTTTTTTTGTCCCTTAACACTGCTATGACTAAAACTGATGCTGGCAGCCAGGACTACATTTATTCTTTCTCCAGCTGCACGAGTGAGATTTTTGTTCCCCCCAATTTCTCGTCGAAGCTTCCCCGGAAGGGGCATCCCCTGAGAAGGGGGCTGAGGGGAGGGCGGAGGAGGAAGCGTGAGTGCAGCTTCTATGAATGAACTTAGGGAGATTTATTATTTAATTAATTTTTTTTTTTTTTTTATGAATGGGAGCTCCGCGAGGCCTGAATGGGCCGAGCTCTGCCACGCGATTGGTCGCCGAGGGCGAAGCTCCTCCCCTTTCCCGGCGCGCGGGGGCTCAGGGCGGGCGGGGATTGGCTGGCGTGTCCCAGCACGGAGCTTCATTCACAAAAAAAAATCCGGTGAAACAAAGGAGAGGCGAGAGCGACCCGTGCGAGCCGCCCCCGGGCCCACGGGGGTCTGAGCGTGGGGCGGGGCCGCTCGGGGCTCCGCGTGGGCTGAGGGACTGCAGGGTGAACCGACTGCACCCGACCCGAGCTGACCCAATCGGCCGGGTGGGGTTTCTGTCCCGGGGCGGAGAGTGTGTGTGTGGGGGCTCGTCCGGGCAGCGGGGCTGGAGGGCTCAGTCCCCACTCGTGTCCCAAGTTTCGGCGCGGTCGCCGCCTCTCCCGGACGGCGGGAGAGCCCCGGTCGCGGTCCTGCCGCGGCTGCGGAGCTCGGGGACCCCTCCGGCCGGGCCAGCCCCCCGCCACCCGCCCCCGGTGCTGTCCCCCCCCGGGCAGCATGAAGGGGTACCTGGACCAGCAGGTGCCTTTCACGTTCCCGCAGGTGAGTGGCGGCTCCGCCGGGCTGGGGGTCCACGCTGGGCTCCGCTGGGGCTCCGCGCTGATCTGTTCCTTCCGTAGCAGCCCCCGGGCCAGGCTGTGCTGGGCGCTGGGAAGATCCCCGGTGAGCCGGGCGTGCCACCGGCGCAGGACTCGGAAGGTGAGAGGGGTCTGAGCGTGGAGGGGAGGGATGGGGATGGTGGAGGCGTCTGGGCAGTGACCGGGTCCTCCCCCCGCGCCTCCGTCCCCACCTCCTGGTTCCGCCGGCACCGCCGGGGCTGGAGCAGCCCGGTGTCCCTCCCCAGTGCCCCGCTGAGCATCCTCTCCCTTCTCCTGCAGAGCTCTTCCAGGACTTGAGCCAGCTCCAGGAGACCTGGCTGACTGAAGGTGGGCTCCTTCCCCTTGCTCTCTTTGGTTTTCGCTCGTCTCTTGAGTTGTTTGTCTTGTGAGGTTTGTGCTGCTCCTTCGCTGTGTTTGCCCGGCTCCAAACAAAAGTGGTTTTTTTTCGGACTTGCCAACCTCTGGCTTGAGTAAATGAAGACGCTGAATGACACCATTGTGCTGGGCATTTGCTTATGAATGGAACTTGGCTGCTGGCCCTCTTTCCTGGGTACAATTTTCGTTTCAGGCTACTTGCAACTGGTTCGATTTTATGCTAATTTGTCACTTATCTTTGTTGTTTGCCGGAACGTCGGTATTTTCCTAAACAAGAAAGTATT